GTCTTGTACGAGTCCCACACCTTCCCACGAGAATAGGGTCGTCCCTAGCTCCCCCCTTGCCATGGCTAAGGGCAATATGGGTGGAGTTGCTCTAAGGGTTCAAACCTAAGACCTCTAATATGCAAGTTAAGACTCTTTTTCACTGGGCTAGACCCCATTAGCCATTTTATACCTAATGATTATATAATTTGTTTACTCATAAAATAGATGAAGGGGTAAAGTTCGAATCTAATATAACAACTACTAAATAGCACGACCACCACTTAATTCATAACTTTGATTTAGAAGTTGGCTCATTGCAACATCAAAGCAATTCTTCTATACTATTAAGGTCTCTAGTATATTGAGCCACACCATGAACTGAATTATTCGATACCCCAAGCTGTAGATTCCATGAGTATACAAGAATTTATTAACATAAGCCTTACAACATAATTGGGCAGGGATGATCAGGGAGGGTTCTATTCATCACAAAAATGCCATTACTGTGTCACTCCTATCCAAGAAATGTTCATTTGAGTATTTTAAGAGGCAGTCATCATACCAAGTTATAACTCCTTTCTTTTTAAGACAGAGAATGCGAACCGTTTGTATTGCAAACCTGATACAACTTCTGCAAACAGAGCGGGAGCTGTTACTCCAACATTGTGATAGCCCATGAATATAAGTACTTTTACTATATCTGATGCCACTTTGTTGACCATGACTATACTTCTCAGATAATTGTTGAAGTAAGCCATTCAATTTAATTACATAACTCTTATCAGCTGAAAATTCTAGCTGGTTAAAACACTTATGCCCAATATATTCAGCAACAGAGCCTCCAAAGACAACATCTAGAAAAAGAAAGAAAGATAACTGACCCATAAGGATAATGAATGGTTTTGATAAAAACGTCTTCAACAGAAATTAACTTGTGTCAAATGAAACTTGGGTGCTTGGCCTTAGTGGCGGTTCTAGGATTCGAAAGCTAGTTGGGCAAAACTTACATACTAAACTTGACGGTACGAGTGAATTTCATTAATAAACATAAAAAGATACACATAGTTAAGGAATATGCAATGAGTCTTACCCTCAAATGCATGTCTATCCATAAATAAAAGTTCAATAAATAAAAAAACTAAAACTAAACCAAAAGTAAATGCAATACAAAAGAACACTATTTTAAATCTAAAATTTAACCATACAAGGCTTATAACTCTTAAATTCCTCAATTTTCGATGCATTAGCAAACTCTCTTTCATTCCTAAATAAAACCTACAATACTCAATTTTAAATTAAAACTACAATTAAAGATATATAGAAAATAGAGGGAGAAAGAAGCAGCTAATGTTGAGTAGCTAAAAGAGATAGAAACAAGCTGATGTCGCATAGCCAAAAGAGGGGAGAGAAGATACGGGACCACCTGAATGAGCAGCATGTGTGTAAGGTTTGCTTTTAATTTTTTTAATTTTGAGCTGGACTTATGTTATAACATATGTAGTTTTTTTTATTTTTTATTTATTAATATTTTATAAATTAGGCTAGGCGGGCACCCAATATGTCCTGTGCACAGAACCGCCCCTGCTTGGCCTTTATAGGATTAAATGTTAAAAGATAAAAGCCTAAACAATATTTTAGTGTATCTCCAATAAGAAAAGAAAAAAAAAACTAATTAGCATGTCTTCTTCTTTCTTCGAATAAATAGGAAATTATATTGATGTGATGATTTAAAAAGTTTTACAATTTTCATTTTTAAAATACAAGAAGTATGACTATTCAGCAAATCAGCGAAACACATGCCATTAAAATATTAAATAATTAATTTTAAAAGTAGTCCGATTTAACTTTTAAAATTTCGATGGTCCACTATTTAATTTTTTTTTCCAAAACCATTAATTCATAAATATTATCATGATTTGAAGAATTACCTGATGGAAGATGAAGGAGGTTACCTTTGAAGCGTGCTTTCAAACCTTCGAATGGGAAGAAGATGACATACCTTAGAGAGAAGAAGGTGCTTGCAATCTCTCTCTAAGGTGGCCAGTTTAAGCTTGGAGGACTCGTAAAGAATGCAACAACCCTACGATGAGATGAAGACATAAGTTTCTTTAAATATGAGCCTCAAAACAAGGGACTCACTCACTCCTCTATGCTTGGTCTGCCTAGCCTTGTGAGTGGGCATTTTGGGCTTCCTTGGTTAATAGTTGTCATCCAGCTTATGTCCCAAGCCCAATTAGTTAAGGCCCAATGGGCTTAAGAATCTGAATCCTATTTTAAGGTCCATTACAACATGCCCTTATGTTTTCCCAAAACTTATGTTTAACTGTGTGTGAATCTATTATGTTCTAATTAGCGAGGTAATGGGATTAGAACTCTTATTAATTGATTGTGAATTAAAATTTCCTTTTAATTTTCTCTACAAGTGAGGATCATTATAGTTAATCCTAAGGTCATCTCCAACTCAAGGACCTAAACCAAAAATATCCCAAATTATTGCCCAAAATCTCTCCCAACCCAAGAAAATGAAGGACCCAAAATTTGGAAAAACTCAAATACCAGTCCAAATTTTGCCTGGACCCAAAACTATTTAGTGGAGCCCACGCTGAGGTGGCACAGCCCATGTGCATGAGAAAAATACTGGGACCAGCTCTGGGAGAAATTATAGAATGATACTGTACTACCACGTCAGCTAGTAGTACTTCTATTCAAAATATGTCATGTGTCATTTTAAAAAAATTTATAGTGTTTTATTTTACAGCTGGACTTTTGCCCTCTAGAATAATATTTACAAAACGAAAAAACCAAAGACGACGGAAACCAACTCCCACGACAACCCAAATCTTCCTACCTTGCACTACCAACCACCCAACCCAATCGCCCAAGGGTTTTGGTTGGCCACCTAGTTAATCTACAATAAGAACCACATAAAGAAATCACTGGAAATAACAAAAACTGATTATTTCCTTTGTGGTTTCTGTAGAAATGATTATCAATAAACCCAAAAAGAAATAACCAGCACGCTACAGAAACCTGTCGAGTCCCATGGACTATTGGGTTGGGTGGAAGAAGTGCGAGGATGGGGATTGGGTTGTGGTGGGAGGTGGTTTCCGGCAGCTTCTTTGGGTTCTTTCTTTTTTAAAATTAAAAAAATCTTATTCTAACGTTAAAAAGAAAGTATTAAATCCAGATGTAAAAAAAATTATAATTAAAAAAAAATGACATATGACATATTTTGAATGGAAGTACTACCAGCTGACGTGGTAGTACAGTATCATTCTATAATTTCTCCAGCTCTGGTGGGTATGTCTGTTGCCCATGCCATGTGTCTGCTTGTGGTGAAGTGGCCGTTGCAATCCTAATGTCTCTTTATTTTATTTTATTTTATTTTATTTTTTATAAATCTAATAGTATCTTTAAAAATAGATTGGGCCCACAGTGCTGGCTTTATTCTAGCTTAAAGTGGCGTTGCAATTCAAATATTCTTTATAAAAAAAAAATTCCAATAGTAACTTTAAATTAACGATCTAGATTAAATCTAAGCTATTTTAACAGTAAAAAAAAAGATCAAACGGCTGAAATTTAAATCCAACGGTTAAAATAATATTTTAAATTAATCCAAATCAGATCCAACCCCAAAACTCACTCCAAACTCTATAAATACTCACTCATTTCTCAATTAATCTACCAAAAACATATTTTCTATTTGTCAATTTATTTTTCCTTTGTCAATTTCATCAATCTCTTTCATTCTCATACTTATGATATAATTTCAAGCACATCATCTTTTTCATTCTCATACTTTTCATATCATTTGAAGTTTTCAATGGATAACCGTGGCAAGACCATCTTTTCCTTTATGTTTGATGATGACGATTCAGATGATGAAGAACATCATTAGAGAGTGATAGAAACCATTGTCCACCATACTTCACTGGAGAATGAAGCCACCAAACATGGTGGGTAGGTAGTCGGCCGTGTGTACAAGAACCGTGAGAGGGAAGATCGCTATTGCAATCTCATATCCGACTACTTTGTTGAAAGGCCACATTTTAATACTACCAACTTTCGTAGGCGGTTCCAAATGAGGAAAAAGTTGTTTTACTGCATCTTGAATGATGTTGTCAACCACGAGCCATACTTTTGTCAAAAAAAAAAAAAAGACGAGCTCGGCCGACAAGGGCTATCCCATGAGCAAAAGTTAACTGCTGTATTTCGTATGCTCGCATGGGGATGCTCAGCTGATGCGACTGACGAGTACTGTAGATTGGGTGAAAGCACAACTCTTGAGTCACTCTGTAAGTTTTGTTGCACTGTTGAAGCCGTGTATGGCCAATGGTACCTCAAGTCTCCAAATCCAGCTGACCTTTACAAGCTATTGCACAAGGCAAGCAGTCAAGGCTTCCTAGGCATATTAGGAAGTCTTGACTGCATGCACTGGGAATGGAAGAATTGCCCATCTTCTTGGGTAGGCCAGTTTACCGATCACAAAAAAAAAAAACCACTGTTGTGCTAGAGGCCGTGGCCTCGTACGACACATGGATATGGCATGCCTTTTTTGGAGCCGTTGGATCCAACAATGATATCAACATTTAAGCTCGTTCTCCATTGTTCAATGATGTGGTACAGGGAGTGGCTCCTTATGTTGAATATATTGTCAATGAAAATCAATACCATTTGGGCTACTATTTAGCAGATGGGATCTACCCCCGTTGGGCTACTTTGGTGAAGACCATCTCTTCTCCTGATAACCCAAAGAAGAGGCTTTTTGCACAAATGCAAGAAGCGTACATGAAGGAAGTTGAAAGAGCATTTGGAATACTACAGGCTCGATGGGTTATTGTTCGGGGCCCTGCACGTATGTGGTGCAAGGATAACCTCCACTCAATCATGATGACATGTATAATTTTGCACAACATAATTGTGGAGGATGAGTACGAATATGTTGAAGAGGAATTTGATGATGAGAATATGTGTCCACAACAATCCAGGAGGGCCAGAGCAACACAATATGAGCTGGAGCCAAGCATTACATATGAGTACCACCAAGATAGGCAAACTCTCTTTGATTACATGATTCGTCATAATAGAGTTCGATCTCCACATGTGCATCAGAGTCTTCGACATGATTTGCTCAATCACCTTTGGAGGAGCTTTGGAGATGGTGAATGAGGTCGACAATTGTTTCAATCCTCATTTTGTGTTTCAAT